TCCCTTGACCCATCATTCCTTCCACCTCACTGGAATCCAAAACATCCTCTAAAGAACAGCTAGAAAATACTACCAGCTATACCACACCACACTGCCTACACCAACTCTCCACCCTAGCAAACTGTGTTCACATCCTACGTTACAGCACTTTGCTGTTCACTCTGTCGTGACAGACTCTTTGCACCCCCATGGACTGCAGCACACCAGGCTTCCCTGTCCTTCATCATCTCCTGGACCTTGCTCAAACTCATGTCCATTGAGTAGATGATGCCATCCTTATTTACACCATATTAACGCACTCACTGTATCTTCCAGGATAACATGGTTATTTATGATTATTTATCCTTCCATACTTGGCATATAATAAATGAATGATGAAATCAGTAATAGCATAGAAAGCAAATTTGAAAGAAAGAAGTTGATTCAAAATCTGAATGGTTAAAATTTTATAGGAGTTAAATGATTACTAACTAATGAAGCCTTCTATTAAAGGTATGCTCTATATCACAAGGATAAACCCAGGGAACTCTTGGGAAGATTCCTTTACACCTTTTACTTTATCCGAAAGTTTTACGTAGAAGGGACAGGAAGCAAACTTTGGGATCACTTCATTTATCTAAGCACAAATTCAAAAATCTAACTCAGTACTAGACAAAATAACCCAGGTATGTATTATGTTATCCTCTACCCAAGTCTATTTGGGTCCATGATCCTGCTGATAGAGAACAACCTCACTGAGGAAAATGAAATATGTGAAGAATAATTCAAATAAATGTTATTCCCTATTCCTAGGGCCCAAGGACGGTGATATTCTCAAACCCATCAAACACAAACAACTGGTTCCGAAAATAAAGTTTTAGTCTATGTGCAATATTTTTCAGAGGTATGAGTAATTTAACTTAGAAAAGAATACTATTTTTTAACAGCTGCATGTATTTTAAGACATTTTGACTGAAAAGCTTTCAAATATAGTTGAAATGAGATTACAAAGACAGAATAAATTAAATTCCAAGCTTGAAAATGTACTAAATGCACTGAGGACAAAAGGCAGGAAAAGGCTGTTTGGCATCATCACTTTTTAAATGCTTTTAAAACTCTGTCAGTAAAATAATTTCAAATAAATGACAAGGACAGTGAGACAGAAACATAGGCAGGTACTCAGCTTGCTTTGCTCTTTGGCATCAATTAATTATTTTTTAATTTCCTGAACATCCATGTATGCTCAGTACATTTAGTATTTATTAGATGGAAAATTGTTTCTTCCACTTTCCATCACCTGGCTAAGACGCTTGTGGAAACCATACTCAGGAACCTCACATTAATAAATCATCACTCCTACATACTGATTAGCAATCATTTCCTTACCCTCACCACAGCATTTTCAACAAGAATACAATAATGCCTTTCCTAAAGGCAGTGGCCAGCAGAACCCAGACAGACAACAGTCTGAGCAGTGGCCAGAAAAACAAGGCAGATGTTCTCGAGCCTGCTCCCACTGTACTTCGTATGAGTCTGTGTTACAGACCTCTCCATATGACGTGGCAATTACCCACCTACATACCTGGCTCTGATGATGGTCCTGGAGCTTCCTTGACAGGTCTAGGGCAGATTTATACCTTGTCTAGCTTTGCATCTCCAGGGAACAAGGACTTCATAGAAACACAGTAGGTCCTCAATAAATGTTTAAGCGTTTAAGAACCTCTGTCTCTGTGAGAGTTTTGGAACAGACTCCACATTGCAGGTATACATGAACCTCACTGTGTATTTATGATTAACAGTTCTGTCTCTGTATCAGAGAGGCATCCACTGATCTGAACAGTTTGGGGTCAGCTATTGACTTACACTGACACATGGAGCTAAGACCAGAAAATATATCTAAAATAAATGAGATGCTTTGGGATACATTACTATTTTTTTCCTCAATAAATGTACTATGTTAAGTTTGTGCCACTGATGTTTTCTTTCAAAACACTTTACATCTTACAAGGAACACAACTGAGCAATTACTCCCACCTATTCTCAGGGACCTTGCATAGAAAGCCTGCCCTCTGAAAACATAACAGTTAGCTAGAACTGGGATCTCAGTCGACCGTTTTAAATTCTAGAGGCCAGGGGATGGTGTAACTACACACTAGGTTTCTCCCCTACAACCTAAGACTGCTTCAGAAGCCCTGTGAGGTAAGGTATTTTACCTTGTAGGCAGCTGAGACATACTGTACTTGGAGCTTGTTTACAAATTTACACTTCCAAGATCTGACCTTGTTGAAGAGGTTTTATAAAGAAAAATGCTGAATACTTAGCCCTGTCTTCTATATAACTACCAGTTAGATTTGAAAGTTACTATTCTGTTGTTCACAAGCTAGACTCCAGCTATGGCAGTTATTTCACAAAACTGTTAGGCAATGTGTCAAGGGATTACCTTTTGGACTAATAATAAAGCTCCTGATGTAATCACCAGGACAGTGTTCATAATATGAACCACTTCCTACACCACTGACAAGCAGGAAAGATGAACACATGTGGGGGAGTCTTCTACGCTATACAATTAAATAAAATATTTTTCCAATTAGTAACTATCAGTGCTTTTTTATTACTGTGAGATAGAGTAGCAATAAACGTATTGGACTCTCATAATGATTTACATGGTTTCCTCCACAAAGCCCACAAATGCATACACAAACAAACACAACAATTTTCAGCCTTGACAGATAATGAAGACAAATAGAGAAAGCCACACAATGCACCTCTGCCAACACCTGTACCCACATTCCACTAAGTAGAGACTTCAGGTGATACATTTCCTCTTGAGTCAAGATTCTCAATTGGAGAGGCTAAATGCAAACCCACAAAAGGGTTAATAAAATAAACAATGGCAGAAGCCTTTCTTTTTTTTACCATAACCCATAAGCCATCTATTTTACCATAACCCATGGTGAAATAATTAAAAAAGGATAAAACTTAGGTCAACAATTACACACACCAAAATTACACAGGCCAAAATTACACACACATTTTTTAATGTTTCAAAAATAATGACTCCATTAACCATAGTTTACCACTTCCTCATACAGATCTTTTTCATTTGACGTTCTAATATTTACTCACAATTGTACAAACTCTGATCACTCAAAGAAGCGGGTGGGGAGAGAGGAGACCTCCCGGGTAGAACCTGACCCATTTTTGCCCACTCATATAACAGATAAGTTAAAAAAAAACCTTGACTCTCCTTCTTGTATGCCCAACTAGTGATACAAGCATGAGTGACCTTAAATTGCTTACTCCTCAGAAAAGCAAAGACAGCTAGTATTGTGCCTGCCAAATATACACAATTTTTCCAACTGCATGCTCCTCATTCTTAAGTATCCAATGTTAAAATGAAAACCTGACCTCAAGCAGCAAGTTGCAATGTTCTGACACTATGACATCATTCTGTCTGAAGTACTTTAAAATCACAATTTGAATAATTGGCAAAAGCTTAAATAGGTCACACTGAAGCCCAAAACTAAGGATACTTATCTGACAAAAATATTCTGGCTCTGCCTTTAGTGCCACCAGCCACAGAATGCCAAGCCTATCGTTCATCTACCCATCTGTGCTCTTCATAAGGATAAACAAAAATAAAGTAAATCTTATCCCCTTCCAGTATTGCTACCACCACCAACAGTGGCTTTTTGTGGCAAATATTTGAACAGTTACGAAAAAAGTAAAGGTAACTGCTTTACTTTTTACTCTTCATAATATGACTTCATGAAGGCTTTAGCACACAGCTACAAAGAAATATTTAAATACCCATTTCTTCAGGTATAAAGATATCAAGAGCCCTGCATCAATTAATTTTATAATTAGCCCCAAATATCTATCAAATAAAACTATAAAGGGCTACAAACATTTACCAATATATAGCTTACAGTACTGCTGATGCAAAAGCAAAACTATTAATTTTGCACAGCAGCAAGCTACATCTTAGGCTTCCCTGGTGGCTTAGTGGTAAAGAACACACCTGCCAATGCAAGAGACAGGGGTTCGATCCCTGGGTCGGGAAGATCCCCTAGAGAAGGAAATGGCAACTCACTCCAGTATTCTGGCCTGGGAAATTCCAGGGACAGAGGAGCCTGGTGGGCTACAGTCCATGGGGTCATGACTTAGCCACTAAACAAGCTACATCTTAATCATATTTCTTTCATAATCCGACTTAGTAAGACAGGGCAGTGACAGCTACAGTCTTCTCAGCAAACCTCTGTAAAGTATCAGGTCGCCTAGACTCGTCTGGGTACTGACATCCAGCACCATTTCTTCTTGTAACTTGTAGTTCATCTGAAAGCAACATGCAAAAACCACAGAGGTTTCTGATACTCTCAGTCCCACCACCTCCATCATAAATTTTCCTTTCACAATAAACAAAGTGCAATCAAAAAGGTTTCCTGTTTCAAAATGGAATAGATGAAACCAGCTGTGACTCTACCATTAGCAACAACCAAAAGTTCCTTAAGGAAGACGAATTCTCAAAGATGAAAATGGAAACTCTCAAATGCTGCTTCCTCGCTTAAAGACTAGCATGGTTCTTTCCCCAGTTATCATTCTCAGCATCACACACTGTGGATGTCATGAGTAGGCCCACAGACTTTTCTTAAATTACTTGTATGCACTCTTTTGTTATCTAAGAGCAACACAACCTCACATAAGACAGAACAAACACTTCCAAATGATTCTATGCCACGCACCAACAAAGAGCAGCCAACAGTAAAAGCTTTGCATATCTGAGTCATATAGAGGAACTTTGAACCTTGAAGAGTAGGACAAAAGGTAAAAAAAAAAAAAGTCTTGGCTCTGAATCCAACTTTTCAAAACACCCAGAGCAGATATAAGAAACACGGTCAGTCCGAATCAAAAGATTGTTGCCATACCAATAATTATTACTAAATGACAGTACAAACAAAACTGGAGAAACCACATCCAGGGTCAACCCTGCTGTTGTACAGACACAGTCAGACAGAACTTACCACTTTGTCCATGAGCTTCCAAGTTTTCTCCACAGTCCTGCGATCTGCTGCGGCTTGCTTAGGGGGTCCAACTGCATCTTGAATAGCATCAATAATACCCAAAATTCGTCCTTTTCGGGGGTTTCCTCCTCGACCACCAGGGTTTCTGCCATTCATAGAATTTGCCATCTGGAATCTTAGCTCTTTGAAAGGAAAAAAAAAAAAAAAAGTTAGTCGGTCATGAAAATATTTATGCAACAGCAAACAAGTTAACTTGTACCCACTACAGCCTCCTCCATCAGTGAGAACAAAATCCAGGGTCCCAGATTCAACTTTTCAACAGCGTGTGAATTTTTCACTCTCAATCTTTACACACAACACACAGGTTTAGGAGCAATGACCTTAGATCTGTTTTGGGAACACTAAGAGTTAAAGAAGCATCATTCTCACATGGCAAGGAGTGAAGGCTTGATTAATACATAACTCACAACGACAGTTAACAAAAACTTAAGATTTCCTCTAACTATGCAAGAACACATCGGCTTTCCCCCCTCCCTGACTTAACCTCAATTCAAAAGGCCAGAACTGAAGCCCCTAGAAAACATTCTGGGAGCTTCACTCAAAAACCGCACTTTCACTGTGTGATTTCGCCAACTTATACAAAACGTAAAGATTATTCTACAGGAGCAGAAAGGGGACGGCTGTTGTCAACAAAGGCTGAGGACTTGGATTTTCCCGGCTAAAACCACCAAGTTCGGACTCATGAACACACGAGCACACAGTTCTTCAAACAACGCGGCTGAGTTGTTCCCAAGTTAAGAGCCAAACGAACCAACACACAAATAGATCCATTTTAAAAGAGAGTGAGAACCTGGCAAGAGCGGGCACAGAAAGGAGAGAGAGTTCACTTCTTAGGCTTCCTGCGTTTCATCTCGTCCAAGGCGGGTGGGGGTAGGGGGTCCGAAGCTTTGTCTCGGGACACCGGTGCCTCCCGGCTCAGGCTCCTCCCCTGCCCGTCCCGAACCACAGCTTGGCGGTGGGGGGGAAGGCGGACAGAGGAAGGACCAAGAACCCCTCCCGCCCCGGCACCCGCAGCCCCGCGCGTCCGGGGCGCTCCGCGTTCGGCTCCCGGGAGGACGCTGCTCCCCGGGTTGTCTGCGATCCCAACCCCCTGGCTCCCCCGGCTCCCTCCTGCTCCTTCCCCGGCCCAGCCCGGGTCCCGGCTTTGAATACCCCCTCTTCAGAGCGTGACGGCGGCGGCGACAGCAGCTGGAAACCGGGGCTGTCCCCTCTTCCTCCGAGGCCCGCGTCGGGCTGCCCCAAGCCCCTTGGGCGGGAAGCTCCGCGGAGCCTCCCCGCACCCCCTTCCCTCCGGCCGTCTGGGCGCCGTAGAGACACGCGGGTGCGCGGGTCCGACTCGACGCGCGCGAGCCCACGGTGCGTGGGTAGCTCCGGCAGGGTGTGTGTAATCACCGTAAAAGCCCCGCTCCCGGGGAAGGAGCGACCCGGAGGCGCCGGCCACCGAGGTGGGGGAACGCAACAATTACCGTCAAAACCAATCCACGCCCGCTCGCCCCTCCCGCCCGACTCGCAGGGAGGCCCGGGACGCCGCAGCAGCACCAGCCGGGGGAGGAGACCACTCGCTGGCCACCCCACCCCTGTCGGATACTCACAGAGAGAGCCCGGCGCGGGGCGGGGCTGGGGGCGGGGCCGCCCGGCGCTGGGCCAATCCGGCGCCCCCGTGCCCTACCCGACAGCGGGCGGCGCCAATGGGCGGGAGGCGCCCGTCCTCCTCGCACTACCACCCGCTCCACGTCTCCCACAGTACACAATGGCCCCAGAGGAAGGCCCTCTCGCCACACGTCCCACATGGAGCGGGACTCGGAGACACAGGAGGGGACTGGGTCCACCCGAGGACGAAAGTGGAAAAGGAGATGGAAGGGAAGATGCAAGGCACCAGGGAATTAACCCACAAGGCGTGGGCGGGTGGGCGTGAGCGTCGGGAAACGGAGCCAAAGCGGACTCTGGCTAGAAGGCGGGACTTCCTGCTTCGCTCACCTTCCTAGTCTTTTGTTTCATAGCAACGGAGTAGTGGCTGAGAGGGTGTTGCTTCTTGAGTCTGGGCGGATGCGAGGCTGAAGAATTCATCTCCTTAGGGCTGCCAAACTTCTACCCAGGACAGCATCCAGGCGGCTGGTTGTGGACTAGCACGGCTTCTTGTGGACTAGCAAGAAACAGCACAGCCTTTCAGCTTCTAAGATGAAGCATACGCCTCTCACAGAATAGACTAGGGCTGACACCTGATTGCCAACCAAAACTTCCTTAATTTCTGAGCGTGTTTCCCGTTTCCTTTTAGTTCCAGAGGAATTGCTGATCAGACGTCAGGTTGATGAAAAAGTAAACAATTGACAACGCAGGCCAAATCGTCTCTACTAACCACGCCAGGGCAGTAAAAGAACCAGACTAGGAACTGCTAATGCACACTGCACCTTTTTATTTACTGCAAGTTGCTGTGTAAATGACTGAAGAGGAAACGGCTTTTGTATTTTGAGTCACCTTTACTCTGTATCTGACATTCTCTCCCAGCATTTGTAATCTTTCTGTGGCTCCACCCCAGTGTCTTTAGAAAAGCCCATATCTGACCAGTCTTCAAAAGAAAAAGCTACTGTGCTGGGGCGCTTCTTTCAACAAGATCATAGATTAAATAGATGTCTTCTATTAGCTCCAGCCCCGCCACAGGTGCTACTAACAATTGCTCTGGATTGTTATGCTTTAGAATTTTTTTCCACCTCAGTTGGCAGTGGGGAATAAACTTTACACCTTGGGTTTCTCAGATGTTGTAACATTTTGTTAATTTTAAAAATATTTCTCTACCAGTTAACCTGATGTTTCTCAATGGCTCTAACCACTTTCTAGTTAAATAACCGTTTTAGTCCGGTGATAATCACTGTCAGGGATCCTGACTTCTTGTTAACATTCTTTACAGCCCTAAATACAGATGGTTAAAGTTTTCATTTGATTAAAACAGGCAAAACGTGGTCTTTGCAGCTGGTCAGGTGATAAAACGTGGTTCAGGAAGTACTTCTGTTTCTTTGCCATTATTTCTGTGCCAATAATTAAAGAGTAGTTCCTTGTTTTCACATTGTGTTTATCTAGGAAAGAACTGGCTTCTCCATATCTCTTCCACCCATGCATATCTCCTTTACTCATAGTGACAGTAGTTACATTTACTGAAGAGAGACTCCAAAAGGAAAAAAAAAAAAAACCCAAACTTATTGGGTCATCTTTTAAATAAATCCCAAAAGAATATATGTATAGAAGGTTTTTCAGCATGTAGGAAAAGAGTAGCTTAAGGAAACATTACAACTAAGTATATACATTCTTACTCATATTCTATACTCATATTCATATCTAGATAAATGCAGAATAAGTAAAATATATGTTATAGCATGTGGCATTCTTTTGGTGTTAGCTGAAAAGATGAAAGAGATGACTTAGTAAGAAAATAGCACTGACTATGGTATCAAGCATATCACACTGATACAAATTTTGTGGGATATGGTTTTATGTGTATATATATATATAACACACATATACACAGTGAACATGTAATTTATTTTATATATGATAAATAACACCAAGAAATTACAGCTTCATTCTCCACTAGGTGTTTTATTAAACCATGTTGAGTCCAAGTTAAGTTCTGGTGTAGTAGGGCTCCCATTTGAACCAGAACTAGGATCCAGGATTTGCTTGTGTCTGATGAACTGAGGGAGTGGCAGCCCTCCCTGCAAACAATTAGCGTGAGTAGTTGATGTCTGTGGGAGAATAAAGACCTCCTGGGATGAAACTTTACATCCCAGATGCTTCCAATGAAGACAGAAGCGATAGAATATAATAAAGTGCTGCATACTGAGGGCTATAAATAAAAGCACAAAGAAATGTTTTCATAGGAGACATTGTGATACTCAGCATAAGCAGTAGTACTTCAAGGTGACACAATTGGCTAGAGAAATACACTGCTCATTTCTACAAGGAACAAGTCCATCTCAAACATGATGCACTTTAAGGTGAATGCACTATTCTTCAGAACCATGGATATTTGTGACCTAGAAAGAACTTGGGTGTGACACCTTTATAGGGGAGGAGTGTTCTCCTGGAGGATCCTGCCATGAGGGAGAATGGCGTAACTTCTAACAAAGAGCCTTCCTTCCATGTACCATAACAGCCCAGAAGTGAATAATAGAAACAAGCTGATTATAAGTTTATATGAGACCCTTCTCTCAGGACTCCCAGAAAAAAACTGGGAGATGCTATGGCAGAGGTGCTGAGAAACTCTATAATGGCAGACATGAACCCTTGTTATTTGAGCATTAATACTTGACATTAATGCTTGTACTCACAGGCTGGTGCCATTTAAGAAAATTCAGCTTAGAATCCTGTCTTTAAACTGGGGGAAAAAAAATTGGGGAAAATATTTACAGTTTTTTCCATTTGATTCAATTTTTCTTCTTTCTACTTTCTCCAAATTCACAGGTGACCCATGTGATATTAGACCAGTTGACTAAATAACAAAATCTCCCTGTAAATTATTTGATCTATAAATAGCCCCTTAAAAAATATTTGTTGAATGGATTGACTGTTTAAGGTTATTGTATAGAAAGTATAAGGTTTCCTGTTTCTGTGTAATGGAGAGTCCACTTATTCACAATTTCAAACAAGATGTTACATTTCCTACCAGGTAGACTTACAGTGCCCCTCCAACTCAAAATCATGATGACACAACCCAAAACACCAACCCCCAGGTATACAGATTCACAGGTTAGAGATAGAGAAGTGGATTATTACCTAGTCATATTTTGGTTTACAAGTCCTACCTTGTTATGGAGAAGGAAATGGCAACCCACTCCATTATTCGTGCCTGGAGAATCTCATGGACTGTAGCCTGCCAGGGTCCTGTGTCCATGGAATCGCAAGAGTCGGACACAACTTAGCAACCAAGCCACCAGCACCACCTTGTTAAGAGGAATAGATTTCCATGGCTCCTTAACAACGCATACAGTAGCTAGCAGTGAGGGATACTCATCTATGAACTTATCAGATATTGTTTGGGGTCAACTGGAATTCTTGTTTAGCAACAAAAGCAACAATAAACAACAATGCTGTAAACAAGAGGAATCATTTCTTTC